CAGCCGTGGCCCGGGTACCCCCCAGACAGCCTTGGGTCCCTGAGGCCCCTCTTGGTGGTGATGGGGGGCTGCCCCGCCACCATGAAGGGCAAGGGAGCCGGGCCTCTGCGCACACTCCCGTCCACCTCGGGTGCTGCTGCCTAAAGAGGCTGAACCGACCCTCCCCCTGCCCCCGCCTCCACTGGCCGGAGTCCCTGTCCCTTGGCACAGGCTGAGTGGATTGAGCGTGAACTCTCCCAGGCCAGGCCTCTGGCCAAAACATCCTCTCCAGCCAAGAGCCCCAGGGGTGCCTCTGTGCAAAAGCCCTCAACCATTTAGAGGCAAACAGTGTCGCCTAGAGCCACCATGCCCCAGGTCCTGGGAGCCCCCAGATGCACAGGGTGCCCGCCGACCTGAGTATGTTCCCTTTTGGCATTGCCCAGCCCTGTTCACCAGAGGCGACGGGCTCTCATTTCCTGAAACATGCCATCGACAGGAGCCCCTGTGGTCTGTGGGTACCTATAGCAGGAGGTAACTGGCTCATTCATCCACATAGAGTCCCGCGCACCTGTGCTCTGGCTCTGAGTCCTGGGGCTGAGCTGTAGCCATCGGCCGTGCCCCACCAAGCACTGTCTGGGGGCCGCAAGTGGGCACAGGGCCGTGGCCTGGCACAGACTGGTGTCTAGCCAGGAGAGCCAGCTCTGCCAAGGACCCAGAGGCCGAAGCCAGGGCCCCTACCCTCTCTCTGTGATGTCCCCCAGGCTTCCTGGCTCATCCAGGGACACCCGGTCAGGCTCTGTGCCAGGGACGACTCCCTAGAAATGTTCCAACTGCTTTTCAGGAGGAGAGTCTGAACAGGCAACAGCCCACAGCCAGCCCACATACGAAGACAGAAAACTTCCGCCATGCTCAGCGGCAAACAAACCCCTTCTGCACCCGGCCCCAGACGCCAGGACTTGGCTGTCAGCTGACAGTTTCCTTGACTTTTGTTCCTGATTCCAACTTGGGACCCACCAGAGACAGCCAAATGTGCTCCCCACCCACCTCGAGAGAGCCCAACTTCCTGCTCCCCCCCAGGTCCCAGACAGCTGCCTCCACCAGGGTATCCCCAGCCTTGTCTTTCTCTATAAAAAGCTTTCCGTACATATATACATAGAAATAAATATATAGATGATGAAACTACAGAGCTTCCTCACTCCTGCTTGCCTCTGGTCTGCCAACAGGAGGGGCAGTGGCCCTGCAGCCCCGAATAACAGCCGTGCCCACTGAGAGGTGGCTGTCCCTTTCTCCAAGGGTCACAGGGGAGGATTCGGGTACACAGAGCTCCAGGGAACACCACCCCAAAGGTGCCAGTGCCAACCAAGGGGGCAGAGCCTCATTCCTGGGCTTACAGGTGGTGTGACCCAGGCAAGTGCCTCTGCCCTCTGTTCTCCATCCATAAAGTGGCTGCAGTGGGATCCCACTAGACAGGATTAGAGCCAGTTGGCATAGAGTGAGCGCTCAGGGGGACTGTCAATGTCCCGCTCAGCCCTGGCTCGTTAAGGGGATGGCCTCATGGGGTGGAGCCACAGGCACAGGAATTCGCCTTCTTTGCAGAGTTTTTCCGTAGTCGGCACCAGCTCCCACAGTCCACCCACTCCTAGCACCACTGGAACTGCAGAGGGCAGAGGCTTCTGTAGATGAAGATCCTGAGGCTCTGAGGGGCTCACCCCCCACTGATATGTCACTGTGGCTCTCCAGTGTTACTAACGTGGGGCCCTCAGAATGGGATTCCTGCAAGGTCTCCCTCTTGGCCTGCGTAGGTCCTGTGTGGGGGCTGAGCGTTCCCTGGCTCCAGCACAGGGGCTGCCCAAGGACCTGGAGGTCCTCACCACCTCCTGGGGACAGCCCTGTGGCAGGATGCCCGCCTGCCAGCTCCGGCCTGGCCTGGCCAGCCTGGGGTGGCCATGCCAGCACCTCCATCTGAGCACCCACACTGGGGCAGCTGTGCTGACTCACGGGAAGCCACAGAGCCGCCGCCCCTGCCTGGCAGTTATGTTAGGCCATGTGTGGGGGCAGAGCCAAAACTGTCCCCCACCTGAAACCATTCACCCAGTACTGCTGTGCAGATGGAGAAACGGAGCCGGAGAAGGCAGGCTGCTGGGGTGGGCCCCGCCCCGGGCTGTGCACAGTGGCTGTGCCACCTGCCCTGGTTCAGAGCCGGGTGGCAGTGGCAGGCAGCCCAGATGCGGAGCTGAGTACCCAGCTCTAAATCCTGGCTCATGTGGGACCTGAGCAAGCTATGCAAACCCTGGTCTCGGCCCCCTCATCGGCCTCCCAGGAGCCAGCCACGAGGCTTCACGTGACCCAATGTGGGGATGGGGGTTGTACTGGGCATGGAGGCTCCCTGGGACATATCTGAGTCCACCACGGGCAGCCCCCTCCCCTGCAAAAGCCCCACTGTTAGGCGCCGGGGGAGGTCTGCCCGAGGGTCCAGCTCCCATGAGGCACGCGCAGGAGCCTGGCACCGTGGAAAGGCGGGTGCTGCTTCCATGCCTCCGTCCCTGAAAAGATGGCAGGGGACCAAGGGGCTCTGGGGGCCCGGGCAGAGGTGGGGTCCAGGGTAGGCACAGGCTAGGCACGTGTGACCCCTGAGGGGGACTGCTGCCTGGGGGTGGGCAGGCAGCTTCAGGTGCCCCTGCCAGCAACGGGGACGGGTTGATGCTTCTGGGCCCAGAGCCAGCAGGGGTGGGGGCAAGCAGGAGTTTGTCTTCCATGAGGTGGGCGGGCAGCATGGCAGGAGGGGGATTCCGGAACTGGGAGGCAGGGGCTGCCACACTGTATTTTTAGCTCCTCCAGGAGCCCAAATTTTTCCACTGCCTGGCAAGCCTTGATCTCCAGATCTGCACGCGTCCCCCGCAGCTCCCCGGGCTCCAGGGTAGCCCAGGCCCTGCAGGGTGAGGGAGAACCTGGGACCGAGCCTGCCCTGGCATGACCCCTGCCCCCCTCCCTCCCAGAATCTCCGCTCCTTTGAGGCCTCCAGCATGTGGGTCATCAGGTTTGTCCGCTACCTGGTGCCTCTCCCACTGCAGACAATGTCCCAGGGAGGCACAGCAGGCCTCAGGAAGGTGAAGGCTGAGTATCCTCCCACTGCCCACATGTCCAGAGGCATGGGGTACGCAGGGCCTAGGGGAAGGGCTGGCTGTGTCTCCACTGTCCTCTGGCTCATCTCA